AACTATAGTAAGCAGTGTTTAATAAACAGCTGTTTTACTAAATTCTGCTGAGGTGAAATTCAGTGCAGTCTCGTATCGTGATATGTATCGTATCGTGGCACCTGTATCGTGATATGTATCGTATCGTGTCAGCTGTAGCGTGATACGTATCGTATTGTGATACGTATCGTATCATGGCCTCTGTATCGTGACTTTGCTGGTGATACACAGCCCTAATAGATAGCCTATTAAACACCAAACGTGGAATGAAATACCGCTACTCGTTTGAACGGCGCACCACACAGACCTTTCATTGGCTCAGCTCAAAAGAAAAACAGCACAGCGCAAGCTTAGAGCAATGTGTTTAATACAGTGACCAGTCACAATGGTTTTACTGTAGTAACACTAAAGGTAACCATGGTATTGTGACAGAAAAGTAGGATATTCAAATTTAATGTTATTAATGTACTTAATACGTTAAAGTAGTAATGGAATACAATTACAGTATTTTTGTTATTAATTCTATCAGTTGATGTGCATTTGTACTTATTCTACTAAATATATAATAATTTATAATTTTACCTTTTTTTTTTTTTATTTAAAAAGAAACCAAACCAATGTATAGTTAACATTTGAGGCTCAATGCTATAGAAAAGCAAAAAAAATGTTCAGGAAGAGTGTTTTCAGCTTTATTATTTTATATTAAAATAAACAAATCGGTTCAAAACATCATTCAACAGAAATTGCCATGATCGTTATTAATAAATCGCAATTACAATTCTTTTGTCATAATCGTGCAGCCCTACCCCGTATTAATATACAAGAATATATCTGCATAGAAATATAGATTAGAATATAAACTCTATATTTGAATAAAAAATAGAGTTTAAACGAAATTTGACGACACTCACCTTCATTAGCAGCTACACTAGAGCACATAATATCTAAATATAGCTTGATTCTTTTAATAACTACGTTCAAGTACAAATGAACTAATTCGATTATTAACATGTACTGTATGCAGAAAATGGCAGCGACCATAACATATTTAAAGAGAAAGAACACCGCGTGACTCATTCTGAAGCGATTAGCCGCATCTACGGTAACTGGAACAAATTTGATCCCCAAAGATGAACCTTATAAGAGAAATAAGGTTATAAATAAAGTCGCAGCAGCAGCACTTGATATGGGTTCGCATCCATTCCACGAGACACAAACACACACACACACACACACACACACACACACACACACACACACACACACACACACACACACACGTTTG